CACAGCATCTGTTTGAGCCGCCGCCATAACATAAAGACCCTTCACAAGTGAAAATGTGCATACTGTTCTCACAATTATTTTGCTTCATCTACATCTTCTGCTATATTTCAAAAGTTTTCATAACACCTATAATGACCTCCCTATCTTGATTTAGAGTTTTCCTAACTATACCTCCCGGTGCTAACTTAGTAAGATATTGGGTATCATAAAACCGTGGTGTTCGTGCAAACCCAAGACAATGAAAGGAATATTCATTTTCTCCCATCTATTAAACAACTTTTTCAATCTGGAGAAATTTATCAACGTGTTTTCCACCCCTCATAATATCTTTTATTTCACCAAGTATACTGTCCATTTTCTCATAAATCTCACCCATTTTTTAACCTTCCCCATCACAAAATTTAATAAGAAAAAATATAGGCTTTGTGATACGTATGATATTCTCCACATCCTCCTAAAATTCTTCACTAATAATGATTTTTGTAACCAAAGCACCTAACTTCTTTGTGTGTTCATCTCCAGATTTCACCAATTCTTTCCATGACTCGAGAACAATGGTAATTGCAAGGGACTCTCTACAGTCAACAAGCCGCTTCAACAAAATATAATGTGATGCAATCATGGTGTTAGCCACTTTTAATAGCTCTAATTTAGACTGAGCCCTAAATATAGCCAAAAACATGTGTATGGTTCAAGAAATATTTAACAATAGACTTTCCTCTTATGTAAGTATTTCTAAACCACTCAAATTTATTTGCAAAGTCTTTAAAAATTAGATTCAGATTATGAACACCACAAGGAGACCAAAATATGTGTTTGTATACCTTTTCCACCTCTTTTCCCGCAAGTTTACAATTTGTTGCGTTATCAGTTACTACTTGAATGACATTTAGTGGACCTACTTATTCGATGGCTTTCAACAAAAAATAGCAATTGCTCTACCTGTTTTCTCTATCCCCGAAAAATCCTCCGCATATAAAAACATATCTCCATGACTATTTGCAGCAATGATATTAATAAGTTGTTGATGCTTCACATTAGTCCACCCATCTGATATAATGGATACCCCCATTAGAATACCATGTATATATAACCGGAATCAAATATTTTTCAACACTTCTTTTGCACCCATCCAATAATGTAGTTTTTACTTTTTCATAGCTGGAAGCCTTGTAACCTTTAGGTCCTCTATTTATAGCTGAAATCATCTCATTGAATTGAGGATTTCTCAACACATTGAATGGAATTCCATTAGCACATAATCCCTTCATGACCTTCAAGTCAACCATGTCTCGATCCATTATTTTGAATGCATCTTCAATTGATCTCGTCGTTGGCGAAGGTTGCCACTTCATCAATGTAGAATTTTTTAGGGATGAAGAAATTCCTATTTTTTTCGTCTTTTGTACTCTTTCTCGCAATTTTGCATATTCAGTCAAATTATTCATCAACGCTTGACATCGTTTAATTTATGTTTTTTTCCCAAGTGGGACACCAAAAAAGTGGTAATGCATTCGAGTATACGAACTTGAAAATTTACCGCCGCAATGCTTACATGACCAACTCTTTGATCCCTCTGGATTTTTTCCTTGAGCCGCACCAATAAGATTGACTTCATTGAGTAGTAGTTTCAATTTTGCATCAACTTGTAATTGATCTTCTTGTGTGTGATTTTTTTGTGGTTGCCTAGTGTTATGTTCTTTCGTTACTTCAATATGTTCAACTGCTTGTTAATTTCTACTTTTTTTCCAGGTGGGACACTAAAAAAATGATAATGCATTCGAGTATAAGAAATTGTAAATTTACCGCCGCAATGCTTACATAACCAACTTTTTGATCCCCTGGAATTTTTCCTTGAACTACACCAATAAGATTGACTTCATCGAGTAGTGGTTTCAATTTTGCATTAACTTGTAATTGATCTTCCTATGTGCGATTTTTTTGTGGTTGCCTAGTGTTATCTTCTTCCATTACTTCAATATGTTCAACTTCTTGTTCATCAGCAGAATCATTCAAATTCTGAATATTAATTCCAAATTGTTCTTCCCTCCTTTTTTCAAAAACTATTTTTTAAGTAATAAGTATTCAAGTATTCAACACAGTAGAGATATTGAAAGAATAATTGAGGAGGAAGAGGTAGGCTGTAGCCGCGGTACAGAGGCTGCAGTTGGGATTTAAATATATATATATATATATATATATATATATATATATAGGGCTGGATTTGACGTGTATGTGTAAGTTTCCTAACCTAATTTTGACTTTTTTATCCAAATTATATTCTCTAGTCTTATAAAATAGGTGGGGTTTTATGGTCATTTCACACCACCTAGGTATTAACTACAAGTCAGGTAACTATTTCCCAAGTCCCACTCCCAGACAACTTATATCACGTGAGTCGGTGGCAAATAAGAGAGAGAGAGAGAGAGAGAGAGAACGAAGTTTTGTCTCCTCAACAATCGTCGACGAAGAATTCGAATCAGAGAGAGAGAGAGAAACAAAGAGAGGGCAATGAACCAGATAAGTCGGTTCATCGCGAAGAAGAAGCTAAATCGAAGCAAAGAAATCGAAAAAGTCGAAGCAGAGAAATCGAAGCATAGAAGTCGAAGCAGAGATACATCGAGTGAGTTACCTACTCTTTACTTTAGCCAATTATAAATTAATCTGTGTAATTTGCAATTATTGGATTTGATATGGGGTTAGGGTTTATATTGGGGATCGGGATTTTGTTAATTGATTGGATAAACAGTTGGGGTCAAAGATAGGAGTGATCCAGGTCGCGAATGACCCACGTTTGGGGTCGTGCGCCCCAGATCGCGGTTCGTAGCCATCTCACGTTTTCTGGTAACCCTGGTCACACTAGATATATGCCAAGAATGTTTCTTCTAAAGGAGATCTTGAAAAGAAGATGGATATGGAAATTCCTTAAGAATTCAATTCATGGGACCCTAAATGAAAGATATGCAGATTGAGGAAAGCTATGTATGGGCTAAAGAAGACACCAATGGCTAGGATAAATAGATTTTACCGAGCAATGTATAAGTTTGGATATAAGAAGAGTCGGGCAGATTACATTATTCAATAAAAGGAGGGATGACAAGATTACAAACACTTCTGGTACTTGTTGACGATAAAGATTTGACAGGCAACAACATAGAAGAAGTGACCAAATTAAATGATCATCTAGCCAAGGAGTTTGAGATCAAAGATCTGGCCCTTCGTATTGAGGTCATGAGATCTGACAAGGAAATCTTCTTTGGCCAAAGAAAACATGTCTCCGACTTGTTTGATGAAATATGTATGCTGGGATGGAAACTGATGGACCCAACCATTAAGGCAAATCATCACCTTAAAAGGGGACGGGGGAATTAATCACGTTGACAAGGGAAGATATCTGAGATTGGTAGGGAGGCTCAAAACCTTCCTCATACTTCCAAGACTTAACATACTCGGTATGGGTGGTCAATAAATTAATGTAGCTCCTAGTAAAGGGATACTTTTATTCATGCATGGTCATCTGGAACTTGAAGCTTTCCTAGATGTAAAATAGGCAAGTTTACCTGATGACTGATGATATACTTAAAGGTATTTTACACGTAATCGAGAACTTAGGTGATTTGGAGAAGGACGGAACAATCATTGGTTACTGGCTACAGTGCCCAAGTTGACTATCGAGGTAGGGTGCACTAGGTGTGTGAATTTTTTTGGCATTGTGTTGAGGGATCCCATGCTCCATGGCTTTGTATTTAGATTTAGACAGATGACAGTTCTTGGGATTGTTAGTAACTGTCCAATCAAATTGTACCGTGCCAAATCACATTAAGATTCAGGGACAGGTCATAATGAGAAGGTGAACAGAGATTAACTAGTGAATGTCTTGCCTAAAGGGCTAAGTGGCCGGAACTTTCCTTCTATTGTATGCAAGTTGGACATGGAAGATATATACTCTCGAAATATAGGAGGAGCATTAGGATATGCGAATATGATGCTACAATGTGCAATATACACTCCTACAATATATAAATAGATGAAAGGACATAGGGATGGGGGTATTCTCTCATTCCAACCTATTCTGTCCGCAATTCTTTTCTCTCTTCTCTTCTCTTCACCTATCATTTGGTCTCAAATGCTAAACAGGCATATGTATGAATTCCAGCTCAAAGAAACCAATAAAAAACATTAGTAAATAACAAACTTAACCTGATTCAACAACAGGAAGAACAGAGTGCACTAGGTAACTAGGAAAAAGGATCTCAAAATTGTCTTCTCCATGCCAAATTACAGCCTAAACCTAACCGTTGTCTGGTAACTTATCAAACTCTAAAAGCTCATAGCTTTAGCAGTTTTATAGCCAAAATAACCATATATAATCAGCCCCAAAAGACCATTATCTTCCGCTTCCCGCATCAATTTATGTATGGAAGTTTGTAGGGGAGTTTTCCCTGTGCTTGTACTAAATCAGTGACTCAAATACTTTCTATGGGGATAGAAGTAAACTCTCTTCCATGAGTATGGCAAGCACATTCAACAGTGATAGCAGAATAAAACTGCACGACCTACTCTGTATTGTCCAAACAAACAACCAATCAAAATAACCATCTCATCAAAAAACAGATTGTCAGAAGAGGGAGTAACATGAGATATTCTGTATTCTCAACATAGTATTGCCCAGACTCGATTGAAACTGATAGAAAAATCAAGATTAGGATTCTATATGCCCTATAAATGTTAAAAATTAGAGTTCTTCATGTCATGTCATATAACAGGTTCCGGTATTGTCATGAATTCCAAAGCATTTCACTTGCTCTATTTAACAAATAAGAAGATTGGCCACAGTCAACAAGTGCCTAATAATAATAATAAAGTCTGATGGTCATAGATAGGCCAATCAAAATTTTAAATTAGGAAGACAAAAATTAAGCAAAATTTATAAAGAAACAAGATTGACCAAAAAAAGACAAAGCAGTTTTTAAACAACAAATAGAATTAATAGGACAGAATCATACATCAAGAGGAGGATTCAGGAGTTCAATGCCGTTGCTTATCTGACCATATGGTTCCATTAGGTCAACCACATTCTGCAGATCCTCTTTCGTCAATGTCAATCCAATATGATTTACCAGCATTTTACTTATTCCTTTAACAATTTTGGTTTTCCTCACCCATTTGGGGATGATTCTGCTGAAAGTCTGCACAATTACAATATGGAATTAAGAATCAGTTTGAGAAACATGAGTAAAACTAAAAGGGATGTATGGAACAGGGTAGTTCTTTCTATTCACAATGAATTCTACAAAAACAAGAAAATCGCATGTGTGTTGGTGTACGTATGGGATAAGTCACTAATATTAGTGTGCAAGTGCAAGACAAAGCTGTGTATATTGATATGTCATGCCTGTATAGGAGTTTATAGAAAAGGGAATACAAAAAATTGATCTCAAAACACATCAATCAACAAGTCACATATTCGCATTGCTTGGAGAACTTGAGGCAGATCAGGATGCCAAATGATGCAGTCCATTACGCACTCGAGGAATACGCAAAAAGCAATGGAAATGGCTTGAATGAAGACAAAGGACTCATGTGGACCCTTGCACAAACATAATTCAACCTCAATTTTAGTTACTTTGAGTTAGTATCAATGTTATCAGAACTGGACCAGCCATCAAACAGGCAAGGGAACCGGACTAATGGTTCACTAGTTCAACCGTTAGGTCAACTAGTCAGACCAGTCATGTAATAAAAAAATAAAAAATATATATACATATACATATATATATATATAATAATTATAAAACATAATAATTTAGCTAAAAAATATGAAATATGTCGACAATGCATGTAATTTGCCATAAAATTAATGAAGTCAAGTAAAAGAAACACCTGTACAAATATCAAACAAACTAAAAGCATAAAATCCACAATGACAAAAAAGAATCCCAATCACTTTACAATAAAATTCACAATCTCAATTCATAAGCCCTATAACTATTAATTTTTCTAAAAGAAATTTGAAAAAGATCCATAGACAACACATGCAAAGAAACCAAAGCTAAATTTAACTCACATAAAAATTAACAAACTAAATCAAAGTTGGGAGAGCAATAAAGTGGNATTTATAAAGAAACAAGATTGACCAAAAAAAGACAAAGCAGTTTTTAAACAACAAATAGAATTAATAGGACAGAATCATACATCAAGAGGAGGATTCAGGAGTTCAATGCCGTTGCTTATCTGACCATATGGTTCCATTAGGTCAACCACATTCTGCAGATCCTCTTTCGTCAATGTCAATCCAATATGATTTACCAGCATTTTACTTATTCCTTTAACAATTTTGGTTTTCCTCACCCATTTGGGGATGATTCTGCTGAAAGTCTGCACAATTACAATATGGAATTAAGAATCAGTTTGAGAAACATGAGTAAAACTAAAAGGGATGTATGGAACAGGGTAGTTCTTTCTATTCACAATGAATTCTACAAAAACAAGAAAATCGCATGTGTGTTGGTGTACGTATGGGATAAGTCACTAATATTAGTGTGCAAGTGCAAGACAAAGCTGTGTATATTGATATGTCATGCCTGTATAGGAGTTTATAGAAAAGGGAATACAAAAAATTGATCTCAAAACACATCAATCAACAAGTCACATATTCGCATTGCTTGGAGAACTTGAGGCAGATCAGGATGCCAAATGATGCAGTCCATTACGCACTCGAGGAATACGCAAAAAGCAATGGAAATGGCTTGAATGAAGACAAAGGACTCATGTGGACCCTTGCACAAACATAATTCAACCTCAATTTTAGTTACTTTGAGTTAGTATCAATGTTATCAGAACTGGACCAGCCATCAAACAGGCAAGGGAACCGGACTAATGGTTCACTAGTTCAACCGTTAGGTCAACTAGTCAGACCAGTCATGTAATAAAAAAATAAAAAATATATATACATATACATATATATATATATAATAATTATAAAACATAATAATTTAGCTAAAAAATATGAAATATGTCGACAATGCATGTAATTTGCCATAAAATTAATGAAGTCAAGTAAAAGAAACACCTGTACAAATATCAAACAAACTAAAAGCATAAAATCCACAATGACAAAAAAGAATCCCAATCACTTTACAATAAAATTCACAATCTCAATTCATAAGCCCTATAACTATTAATTTTTCTAAAAGAAATTTGAAAAAGATCCATAGACAACACATGCAAAGAAACCAAAGCTAAATTTAACTCACATAAAAATTAACAAACTAAATCAAAGTTGGGAGAGCAATAAAGTGGAAGCCTCAATTCACAATCTCACAATTTCAATTCAGAGAGAGAAAAAGGGGGGGGGGAGGAGAGAGTAGAGTAACGTATGTGAGAGGCGAAGAGTGACAGTGATGAGAATCTTTAATCGTGAGAGAGAGAGAGGAGGGGAGCAAAGACTCAAAGTCGGAGGCAGAGCTACTATATGTGTGTGTGTGTGTGAGATAGAGAAGAGAGGTTTATTATAGTATTAACCGATTGAAGGCTGAGTGGCCACTGGCTACGGAACTGAGGGAATGAGGTTGTGAGGGTGAAGTGCAAACGACTGTGAGTGCGAAGTGAGAACTGAGGGTGACAAATGTTATGTTCTGTGCAATTCAGTGATTGATTTAGAGCAAAATGTCCAAATAGATTTTTTTTATATATATAAGCATTGACAGTGATTGATTTTGGTCCAAAATCGGTTGGTTTAACAGTTCTAAGGCGGTTCTCTTCCTTATGCAGTCTAATTAGAGAACTAGAATGGTCTAGGTCCTGGACCACAGTCAAACCGGTTCGGTCCAGTTCAAATAACAGTGGTAAGCATGCTGGTGTTAAGAGTATAATGTCCTATCGTCTACTTTTCTATCATGTTACTTTTCTATTGTCATTATTATTCAGAATATTTTAGTACAAGAAATTATCATAATTGTCTTCAATATCAAACTAATATAAATAGGTGATAGGGTGTACACAGAACACATCTTATACAATCTTATTCACAATTTCGTTGTTCCTCTCTTCTCTTGTCTCTTCCTTCTTCCTTCTTCCTCCTAAACCCTAACACTTAACTATTTTCATAGATTCAACTGGGTATAGAGCATCGATCTCAGTGTTATGAAAAGCTTGCCTAGGCAAGAAGCGAAGCGAGGCAAGGCAAGGTTATCTCGCCTTGATCAACCCTGGCAAAGCGAACATGACTAAAACGATGGAAAAACAAGCGCCTCTCGCTTAAGCAAAAGGCGAGAAAAGTGACCCCTTAGTTAAGTTTTAAATTTGTTTTACTTTTTTTAGTATGGACCATTTGATTGTTTTATTTTTATTATGGACTATTGGATTGGGGCAATTAGAACAAAGTTGTGAAATGTCCATACACCCAATTCCCCCCTTATCCCAATATATATACAACACCCAAACCCTAATTTCGCCTAAAGGGTCAAACGATTGCTACTCCTTCCTCGATGCTCCTTCATAAAGAAGTCACAGGTTTGCCTACTCTCTTCTTCTTCTTCTCTCTTCTATTTCTCTTCTTCTGCTCTATTTATGATCTTCGTCCTTTAATTCTTCTTCTTCTTTTAATTCTTCTTCGACAAAAAGTTTACGTCTGCTACTTCTATCTTCTTCTTCTACAGAAAACACCACACACAGGGTATGTTTTTTGTTTTTTCTTTCCTTCTCTACTTTTTCAATTCTTCTTCGACAAAAAATACATGTACTTCTCTTGCTTCTCCAGTTGCATCTATATTCTTCTTCGACAACAGAGATATGTTCTCTTCTCTCTTCTCCCCTTCTCTTCTTCTACTAATTCTTCTTCTCTTCTACGAATTCTTCTTCTTCTTCTTCTTTTGGTTCTGTGTCCTCTCTCTTTCTTCTCCTCTTTTGTTTATGGTTCTAATTGTGCTTCTGCTTTTACTTCTTCTCTTCTTCTACTCCTGGTTCTGCTTCTATGCTTCTGCTACTTCTTCTCTTTTTCTACTTTTGCTCTTGCTTCTTTGATTTTGCTTCTTCTCTTCTTCTGATTCTGCTTCTACTTAAAGTTGATTTTTTGTAATTGTTTGGTGCTAATTTTGCTAATTCTGCTTTTTCCTGCTTCTAATTTGATGATGATTTTGCGTAATGCTAATTTTGTTGATTCTGCCTATTTTTGTAATGATTAACGCTGATTCTGCTTCTAATTTTATGCTAATTTTCCGTACTGCTGCAAATTTAATATTGATTTTCTATGCTTAATGCTAATTCTACTAATCTACTTTTGTTGATCACTGCTTAATGCTGATTTTCTCTTTTTCTGATTCTACTTAATGCTGATTTTGCTTTATGATTTTACTTGCATTTAAATATTTAGTATTTGTAAAATTAGAACTTAGATATTTAGAAATAATTAAACTAAAATATTTACTTTTTTTTACGGTTCGCTTTGCTTCTTCCTTCTCGTCTAGGCTTTAGGAGACTTGGTTAGTTCGCTTCGCTTCGCTTTACGCCTTCAATAACACTAATCAATCTAAAGAGAAACATTGTCGAAAATTACAAGGAAGACATTAGGCAAAAGATTGTTGGACAATTGCTAATGTTAGCCATCAAGCACAAGAAACCAAGACTGTTGGACAATTGCTAATGTTAGCCCTCAAGCACAAGAAACCCTATTGTTCCAATTGGTAACTTTTGCACGATGTTAGATTTCTCGCATCAAAACATACCCAAACAAGATTTTTGACGGTGATAGTTATCATGAATTTTCTTTAATTTTTTGAAGTTGTTTGAATGGATTTTTTTTACTTTTAAATGTTCTTCCAAAAATACTAGGCCAACTTTGCAAGCTGTTGGTTTTGCGTAATCTGTGGCTTTTTGATGCGTTGATTCAGTCATAAAGGATTTGACTAAGGCTTGTAAAGAGTGTTTTGAGTGGGCCATACATATTTGTTGATTTGCAGTTGCTTGAAAAAAAAGTTTGGTTTCACTGTGCAAGTCACAAGTGTTGTTTTCAACCCATATTCGACCTCCCTTTTTGTGATTTCGCCTCAAGGTGAGATTGGGGACTAATATGTTGAATTTGAGATATTCACTCATTCTTTGGTTGATTTTTGAGTGACTTTTGGCTAGAAAAGGTGGTCGACAATCAATGTGTTTGCTGCTCCACCACCAGACAGTATTCCGGCAAGGTTTCTGGTTCTTCTATGCTAAGTATGTTTTGGGCGTATTGGGTGTTGCGTAGACTGCTTCTTGCGTTGTTTTGGGTAGACTAAGTGTGGACGATTGCTTCTGTGTTGTTTTTAGGCAGTCTGTCTCTTTATCCATTGGGTTATGTGATTGTTGATTGTTGGTTGATTATTGGTCCATTGTTTCCTACTGCTACATAGTTGGTTGAGGGTTTCCTTATTGAAACTTCAGAGCATGAAAAGGAACCTTTAGTGGTTAATCAGGTTCATTTAGTAAATGATTATATTAGATAGATTACTACTGTGAAATTGAATGGAAACAAATATTATTCCAGATCTGATGCCATTGAAGTTTTCCTATGAGCCAAAAAGAAGAGCAAGTATTTGACTGAAAGTCCCCCTCTTGCGAACTCCAGAATTTTGAATATTGGTGGAATGGGAATCCCTTGGAGATGACTTCATTGTGGCTTAGTATTGAACCTAGGAAGCACAGGTACGAACAAGAGTATCGTATCAGATGCCATAAGGATACAGGAGTAAGACAAAATTCGAAAATATAGGACGCGGATACACTAAGGATACAGTTAATTAACATAATATTATATATTCTCTAGATAAAACAATGTAATATCTTAAAAACAAAACTTATTTTACAACAATATTAATAATAACGCCTACAAAATATTAATTTTTTATTAGAATTAAAATAGATCAAAATTAATATTCACCATTTTTATTAAACATCATTACATCCATTAACATTAATAGTCCATAAATTACACAACAAAAAACTCAAAAATAAAATAGAGAATTCTCACACCCCTATTCATAGTTAACAGTCATGAGATTAAAAATAATTCTAACTATATTATGATTGTGTCCTAGGAGTATCCTAGTAGTGTCGAACTAAATTCACTATTCATGATATATCAATAAGTGTCGGACACATGTCCAGTCATGTTCGTGTCGAACACGTGTCTGACACTGACATGACTCCCCTTCGACAAGTATCTGTGCTTCCTAATATGAAACTTTGTGTGGGCTCTAATATTCAATTTCTTGACACAGCTAAGAAGATATGGAATTCTCTTGAAGAAATGTACTCGCAAGAACATAATGCATCCCGAATTTAGGAGCTCTTTGAGCGTATCTTTGATACAGCATAGAATAATAAATCCCTTGATGAACATTATGACATATTGAAAAGATTTATGGGTAGAACTTATGCCTTACCAACCACCAAGCATTAATTTAACCAAAATAGTGAAAACGTAAAGAGTTTCAAGTTGACTTATTATTGTCTAACCCTGGTTAAAAAAAAAAAATTGTCTAACCTTAACTCTGAGTATTATGTCAAGGATCAAATTTTGGCTAATGAGACACTTCCAACTGTTGTTAATGCTTACTCTCACCTTCAGTGTGCTTCAATTATTCACGGGGCACCTTAAAGTACACCAGGGTCCTCTGCCTTAATATCTAATGGTGATCATTGTAGTGGCCATGGTAGTGGTTGTGGTCCACCCCATAATGCCTATCATGGTGATCGATGTACTGGCTGTGGTGGACGTGATTGCCGTCGTGGTGGTCATCGTAAGTGTTCTGAGTGAAAATGTACTTATTTTGGTGGCACAAGATATAACACCCCGCCTCTCATGGCATATTAATTGTAAGCTCTAATACCAGATTGCGATAATGCAATTACATTACATGCAATCACGGTTCTAATAATCAATGATATAATTTTCAAAAAGATTTAACACATACTGGTACCACTTTCGTAACACCTCGATTCTCCCAAACACGTTACTCAATGATTCTAAACTTTGACATTCCGACTCAACTCAGGGTTATAAGTGTACAGATACATGCATCTGTGTCAAAAACATTTCCAATTTGTAACAGTATAATTAATGCACCGTCTCAATAAGTATAACGTTCAAAAGTAAAAACATGTTCAACGAACAACGTATGGTGAACGTCAACCAGGTTATTAAATTAATTCAGTTCTGCAACTAACAAGGTTTGAAAATAACATAGCTTTCGGTGGTTGGAATTTAAAGCAACATTTTAACTTCAGAATCAAAAGAAGAATTATAAATCAACACCAATACCATCATGCACCAATACTAATACCATAGGGTGCCACACCATCAAACGAAACCTAATGACCTCTCAAGATCCAGATGACATCTCCAATCCTTCAATATCAAATAATAAACCTTTTAGGAATATCTCACGCAAGGAAGATTCGCTCCCTCCACCTGTCGGTATCCAAGCTCGAAAGTCACTAGGTCACCAAAATCGATGAATTCGGTGAAACCCTCTACAATTTAAACTTAAATCATGTGTCCTCTGTCACTTAACCTTATATACACAATACTTTTCACTAACATGGATCCGAGAAATCGATTTTCACAAAACTCAACACCAACAAAAAATGGTTTCATCGAATTCAAACGAATTCGTGTTTATAACAAAAAACGATTTCACGCAATCACCATAATCGAAAGCATTGAGAATAATATTTGTTAAAATAACTTAAATGTTGAAAATATTTAGTAAAATCCTAGTTTGAAGCGAAAGTGGAATAACCTACCAAAGTCGCAAGTTGGTATTCCGAACAGCTGTCAAAAATCAAATAGTCAAAATTTTTAGAAGTAACTCAAATATAAGTACCTAAGAACTATTTAAACATACAAATATATTTGGTTTGGCTAAAAATTGCATACTATGAAAATCGGATCCGATAAAGGGCAAAACAATGATTTTCGATGCGATAGTCAAACGGAGTTGAAAATTTCTAACAAAATATGGTTGGAAAGCCCTTGAAATAAAGAGTCTGGAGGTCAAAACCACACCCTTAAGAGCAATGATCTATGTTACTTAGATCCCATAGTTTCTATTCCTACTTTCAGTGTTGTCTCTTCTCCCTTGGCACTTTAGACTGGGTCATCCGTCCTTTCAAAAATTGCATCAAGTCATACCTAGTTGAAGTTCTTCTGCGTTGCAATGTGACGCTTTCTACACAAGCATCACCATAGTTCTTTTCATTTTAGTTCTACGAGTTGACAATCTAGTCCTTCTAGTGTTGTTCATTCAAATATTTGGGGTCCTACAAGAATAAAAAGTGTTTCCAGTTTTTAGTATTTTGTAATCTTTGTTATTAACCTCTCTAGTATGGCTTGAAAGATAGATCTGGTTCTGAATTGCCTAAGATTTTTGCTACTTTTCATAATCAAATCCTAGTTTAGTTTGATAAAAGTACTAATATTCTTAGGTCTAAAAATGCCCTTGGCTATATTACGTTATTTAAAAGTACTTTTTGTACTGACCGTGGCATTATACATCAAACTACTTGTCCACATACATCACAACAAAATAGGGTTGCAGAATGTAGACATCGTCATATGTTGAATGTTGCCCGCACCTTGATGTTTAACATGCACATGCCAAAATCTATTGAGCTGATGTTATTCGTACCTCTATTTATCTTATTAACCACATGTCTTCTCCATCTTAGACAACAAGTCTCCTTTCTCATTGTTGACGAACTTGATGCATGCCTTCCCCCAGAAGTTTAAGGAAGTGTATTAATTTGTCTGAACATGTTTTGGTAACATCATGGTGCGTGAAAATTTTCAAACTACTTCGATCTTGTATTGATATTTTATAGTCATTGTACTTGAGGCTATGGCAAGTGAAAATTCAGATGTTGCACCATCTATAGGTGATCAGTTCCTTCCTTGACTTTCATTGTCAAGTAGTTATAGAAATTTCTTTCTACATACTAGTCTACTGCTTTATCTATTTCTTAGACTCTAGGTTTGTCTTCATTAAGTCTTTTATGTATATCTTGTTCCATTGTTTAAGATTCAAATAATCAATATTAGGGTTTAGATTTAAGAAGAAGAGAAAAAAGAGAAGAAAGAGAGAGGTTGAGAAAAATAATCTGTGTGAGCTCTCGTTGTTCTACACCTTATTTGTAACATGAATAAATTTCAATATTACCCTGTTAAGATTATATTCATATTTATCTTTGTTTATCATTAGGGATACTTTGGTTTTTCTCTTGTAACAGGGTTTTATATATAGTGCATCTTGTAACTAGTTATTATTATCACGGAATATTAATGTAGCAGTCATACTTTCTTCTCTCTTCCCTTTCTACATGCATTATGTCATTTGCATAGTTGGATCTAGATTATCATGGTATCAGGGCAGGTCGATCAGACCTCACTTTGAGTTTGATTCTGCATGCCGATGATTGACATGACCTTGTTCATCACTGGAAACAAGGAAGTATTCTTGGTGGCCATCTTTGCCTTAGCAGCTGAAGCACTAGTTAAAGAAGTATGTTTTACAGTCGGTGCAGTGTTTTGAACAGTGCAATGAATAGTGCTTTGAACACTTCGACAAACAGTTAGATAAGATCGCAAATTGAGTCCTTGACGTTTTAAAACTGGAAAAGATGGATGACAAAGACGCCAAAGACACGAAAATGGAGACAATGACGACTAAAAGGTTCTAGGAGATGGATCAAAATCGTAGTAAAAAAGGCAACTTGTTCCTGAAACACACAAAAAGGATGGATAAAAAGTGACAGAACAATTAAAAGACTGAGCAATCTTGCTAATAGACACCAGACTAAAAGGAAAATTGGGAACAAATAAACCGAGGATAAAGATATAGTGGGACTCAATTTTGTGTGCACGAAACCTGACACTTGAGAAGAGGAACAATCAACAAGAGTAACACTTTGAGAGAGAGTTATATATTGATAACCAAAAAGGATACAGGGCAAACCAGTCATAGGATCGAAAGCACCAGAATCTATGATCCAAGGACTACAAATGGAAGACATAAAATAGGTTGAAACAATACCTGGCTGGGTAAAACTAGTCGTGGATGTGGAGGGAGCTTCTTGTTTCTGAGATAAAAGCAAAACATACTCATCCCGTGATATAATAAGCAAATCTGAATTCAAATATTGTGGAGCACCAAATGATGGTGCAGGTAAATGAAACCCTAAAAAGCCATGGAAGCAGGGAATTACAGAATACGACACTGTACTTCCAGTACAGTACTTAGACTAAACACTGCTGATGAAGACCGAAACCAATGTTGAATCAGACAGTAACCAACCAAAAAGGAGCTGAACAGTGCAGAACCAACCAGAACCAGTCAAAAAGCCACTAAATCTTACTGAACTGACCAGAAAACAGTCAGAAAATCACTAAACCTTGCAGAACCGGCAACAAAACAATCAGAAAATCGATGAGCCATGCTGAACAGGCATGAAAATGCCCTGAACCAGTACTAAATGAGAATAAACCAGTCTAAATAAGGTTGAACCGGGATTAAATGTGTCTGAACCTGTCTGAATATCCCTGAACCGGTCCCACTAGAGTGGGCAGTAGCTTGTGTCCGACAGACCCGCGAACCAATTAAAAGAACTTGGGCCACGCAAAACAAAGTAGGTAGAAAGAATGACCCAATTCAGGTCTCTCTTACACTTAACCCTAACAGATGCACGTTCACTCCCACAGCCAAACAAAGTTGTCTTCTTCAAAGAGGACGGCGACAACTAAATTGTATTTTCCGGCAAAGCATGTAACAACAAGCAAATAAGGGCAGCGAGGCACAGACAACTCCACAAACAATTCCTCAACTTTGAATTCAACAAACTTCTCCAAAAAACCAACCGCAGCTGCGACATATCAAGGACAGCCACAACAAATTAATCAATTCCTTAACGACGACAGTCATCAACAGACCACTCCACAAACACTGGTAATGAAACAGCAAACAACGAAGTCCAAGGCGAGGTGAGACAAATGAAATATCACAGCGACATCTCACTCTATACAACACTGACGAAGCAAACCAGACTACGACAACGCTAACAATTGGAAGTTACAAAGAAGCGATCAACTACGGGCTTAACAACAACATCACCAACGAGTCAACTGCACCATCATCATCAACATAAACACTGTTCATTGTAGCCTAATTGCATCTGCAAATATAAAACAAACAATGTCCCTAACTGTTTGTTCCTGACAGAAGGCTCAACACTTGAGAGGATCAAAGAACAACAAGAGAAGAAAAGAAAGAAGGAAAATAAAAAATTAGGTTTACCAGATGCAAGTTATTGGAGCTTGCTTAGATACCATGTAAAGGTTATGGCAATCGAAGTACACAAAAGTAGAGAGAATTATTTGAGAGGAAGAGAATAACTTGATGCCCTACCTCTCACACTCAACTCATATTTGTATGTATGCAATAAACATGACAGACGAGTATTCCCTACATGGGCACATTTACATATAAAATAAACATTAACACTGATACTCTCAACAGTTGGAAACAATATAGTGTACTACAGGAAACAAGCACCACGTTATACAGCTATCTCCAGTCCCTGAACTTGATTTGTTTTATTGAAAGATCTTTGCAAAGAAAAAAGTCTCACCAACAATTAAAGGAACACAAACACATTCGTGCCTACTAATGAAATTGCAATTTGATTATATTTACAAGATTATAGGAAGTCATTTCTTACCACAAACCAGCTGCAGTAGCTCATAAGTTCATCAGTGTCAAGAAATTTGCTCCTGAATGCAGTACCTTCCAAGGCCACCGGAACAAGTTTGAGTTCTATAGGGCGTAGAAGAGCTGTTTTCTCAGCAACCTGAAGGCAAACCCACATAATATTAAGAGAAACTAGTTCCATATTTTTAACGATAGGACAATGATAATTGTTCTCCAATTGCAACAATAACAAATGGTAAAAAATTGGATACTGATTAGACAATGCAACACAATACAAATGAGCCATATATTACCAACAATTATCAGAAAACACAACCAACTTCAAAAGGAAACAGAAAACTAATAAAGTGAGACACTGAATTGGGAACGTTTTAGATGGGGCATAATAAGTATGCCAGCTTCTCATTATCCCTCCAACCTGTCAACATCTAGTAGTACTAGTGAAGAGGCAAGTAACTTTTTCCAAGGAAAATGCAAGAGCATCACTGAAAGTTAATTATACTTGTCGAGGGTGGTGAACAAGCTGGGCCAATCTGAATCTGTCTGCTCAAGCTTGTTTAACATAGTTACACTCAAAACTCACATAAGCTCTTTGGCCTCTGGCTGTTATACTCTAGAGTAGCTCGACCTCAGTCCAACTTTACATCATTAAAAACAAACTTTCCAAATTGTCCAAAAGTACGAAACCATATCTGAATGCCGCATGGACTCGGTGCCACCGAGTTTTGACTATGTGATTTAAAATAAAAACCATGTAAAGTTGTCAGAGACCTGGCTGGTTTCTGCCCAACATACAACATTTGTGAGCAGATCCTTAGAAGGTGCAAATACCGAAAAAAACTTGCATATCTTGACATTTTGACTCATTTGAAGGACAAACCAAATAATATTCATTTACTGACATATTCGTGCATTGTGATTAAAAACAAATTTGTATCAAGGTTCCTGTGAGCTAATTCGAACCAAGCCAAACCATGTGTATTTGGGATTGGCTTGTTACCTTGACGAGCATAAACCAGGACAAGCCACAATTAACATTTGAATAAGTTGTACAAGGTCAAACTGACCCCAGAATGAGAGATAAAAGCCCACAAACCAAACCAAAATCCAAAAACCTATAGGGGATAACAGCAATAGTCAAAACCTTCAAATTTGCATACACACAGGCACACAAAAAGAGAGAGAGAGAGAGAGAGGACATCCTCAAACTAGTTCATTCATCAGATTTTTGTCGATTGCAACCTCATGGAACTAAGCCCGAGACCTGGCCAATCCAATTAACTGAAATATAACGGTTTAATTGAATTAACCTAAAATCAAAGTTATGCTTGATTACCTTTCTCCAATCCAAAAAATCAGTGAGTTCCTCATCCATAGTTTCCTTTGCAGCAACCCTTAGTATCTTCTCTCTTTCTGCTTGGGTTGGACGTTGAAGATGAAATATTCTATCCATTCGACCAGGGCGCTGTAATGCCTCATCAATCTGTTTGAGATTTCGAGTGGTAGCCATCAAAACTACACCATCCTGTTTCTCAAACCTGGAAAGAGAATCGCCATTGCAAAAGGGATGACATAAGCATATATAATCAGGAAAATGTAGTTAAAATTTACTTGGTGGCAGCAATGAAGTCAAATTTCCCAACACCCCCAACCATCTATTGTGGGATGGGCTTCAAAGCAACTAAACTGGGTAGGGGTGGGCCTGGGGGAAAAAAAAGGAGCCAAGCCCTACTCCACAAATGTATTTATAATTTTTAAGATTGTATTAATACTTATATTTATTAATCAATAGGGGTATTCTAGTCTTTCTCTAACAGTAGGGTTTTATATATGTTAAACTCGGTTTACCCCCTTGTGGTTTGTCTATTTAGCATATCACCCCCCCCCCACATGGTTCAAAAATCAGCACATAACCCCTTTGTGCTTTTGGACTAAAGTGAACAGCTAACCACATTAACGGAAGTGGCCAAACAACCATCACACCCTCTTATCATCTGAACAAACTTATCTTTTCTCTTTACTTTGTTTTCTTCAATCACCACCACCGGAAATCTTCAATTGTCCACTACAACTAAATCACCACTGCACACCACCAGTATTAAATCTTCCCCGCCAGCAACAACGATTGGGACTGTGTTGATTGCGAAAAACAGAGGTTTGTGAAAAATAGAGGATGATGGGAAACAGACGTCACATTTATAGAACGTGTTCTTAAGATATGGAGTTGTAGACCGATTTTGAAATCGAAATTCAGCATCAATTTCAAATTTGAGGCTAATTTCATCGCATAAAAGAAGATTTTAGCACGCAAAAGCAGTAGCTATTTTGATATTAGAACCACGATGATTGGCAATGGAGGTAGGCAACAAACCACGATGTAGAGCATAAATTTGAAGCAATTAAAGGCAAATCAACCCAAATCCTTGCAAAATATACCTACCAAAAAGTAACAAATCCACCAACTCCTTTTTGGTGTGGCTAGGATAAAAACTGGTGGAGGTAACGATGATGAAAAGTCGCTGGACAAGACTAAAGTTATGGAAGGATTGGATCATGAATCAGTGCTTTTGTGTAAGAAATATCTAAGAAATCCTCGCCGATGCGAATTGGTTCTGTCGCCACACAATTTTGAAGCTAATTTCCACATATGGATGGCTGGTCGCCGGGAGTGGTGTTTTCGCCATGGAAAGAGGAGGTTGGGCATAGGTGTTGCGTGGGGTAGTCAGATGGGAGGTGGGTTGCTAGAACTGGACTTTCTACAGGTGGAGAGAGAGAGAGAGACGGGTGGGCATTGACAAAGATGAGGGGTCTTTTTTTATTGGCAACAGAAGGTGGAAGAAGATGGATATTTTGGACTTTTAAAAAGATAATAAGGGTATATTTGATATNCCCCCCCCCCACATGGTTCAAAAATCAGCACATAACCCCTTTGTGCTTTTGGACTAAAGTGAACAGCTAACCACATTAACGGAAGTGGCCAAACAACCATCACACCCTCTTATCATCTGAACAAACTTATCTTTTCTCTTTACTTTGTTTTCTTCAATCACCACCACCGGAAATCTTCAATTGTCCACTACAACTAAATCACCACTGCACACCACCAGTATTAAATCTTCCCCGCCAGCAACAACGATTGGGACTGTGTTGATTGCGAAAAACAGAGGTTTGTGAAAAATAGAGGATGATGGGAAACAGACGTCACATTTATAGAACGTGTTCTTAAGATATGGAGTTGTAGACCGATTTTGAAATCGAAATTCAGCATCAATTTCAAATTTGAGGCTAATTTCATCGCATAAAAGAAGATTTTAGCACGCAAAAGCAGTAGCTATTTTGATATTAGAACCACGATGATTGGCAATGGAGGTAGGCAACAAACCACGATGTAGAGCATAAATTTGAAGCAATTAAAGGCAAATCAACCCAAATCCTTGCAAAATATACCTACCAAAAAGTAACAAATCCACCAACTCCTTTTTGGTGTGGCTAGGATAAAAACTGGTGGAGGTAACGATGATGAAAAGTCGCTGGACAAGACTAAAGTTATGGAAGGATTGGATCATGAATCAGTGCTTTTGTGTAAGAAATATCTAAGAAATCCTCGCCGATGCGAATTGGTTCTGTCGCCACACAATTTTGAAGCTAATTTCCACATATGGATGGCTGGTCGCCGGGAGTGGTGTTTTCGCCATGGAAAGAGGAGGTTGGGCATAGGTGTTGCGTGGGGTAGTCAGATGGGAGGTGGGTTGCTAGAACTGGACTTTCTACAGGTGGAGAGAGAGAGAGAGACGGGTGGGCATTGACAAAGATGAGGGGTCTTTTTTTATTGGCAACAGAAGGTGGAAGAAGATGGATATTTTGGACTTTTAAAAAGATAATAAGGGTATATTTGATATTTTATGAAGTGTTAACTTTCATGGAACTTTTTCATTCACTCTCAAATTTGGCTTGTGGCATAACTTCTATCAATTTTGATGGAAAAGCTAACTGTAGCAAACTAGTCCAAATGCATAAGGGGTTATGTGCTGATTAGATCTCATGTCTTTTTGTAGTTTCTCTCTTACTCTTTCTAGTTATGTCTTTATGGAGTGTAGATAGAATATATTTGCACTCCATAAAACTGAGACATGTGGGGTCGTGTGGATTTAATCGGTAAGAATCTTGTTGGTTCTTAGAGCGTTTAGAAGATTAAGACTAAATACTAATGGTTCTACTTAAAGATAAAAGATCAGATTAATTGCCAAGGGTTTTGCACATAACTATGAAATTAATTGTGTGGCGACATTTGCTCTTGTAACAAAGATGACCATCGTGTGGCAACATTGATTACCATACCCCCATTCGCCAATGGAAACAATCTCAAATGGATGCAACAATGCTTTCCAAAATGGTAATTTGGCTGAAAAGGTTTTTATGAGTCTTCCCCGGAGCATAAAGTATGTTAACTCCAAAAAACTTTGTATGGTCTCAAATAGGCTCCTCGAGCTTGGTTTGAGAAGTTCTCTATTTTTTGGATAAGAAACATCAATTTTATTTATAAGTAAGGCAGAATATTGCAAAATAAATCATAGGTGGACAAGTGTTTGAGAAGTTCTGTGATCTATGACTTGGGTTTAGTTTGGGTGATTATGCTTCTGCTCTTTCTCTTCATTCTTTTTCCGTTGGTCAAATTATTCTTCTCTAATCGATAACTTGTATGAGTATTGAATTAGGATAGTATCTCAATTAGAGATAGCAGCTTGGGATGAAGGATCTTGGTCTCTTTCCCAATTTCCTAGGCTTTAAAGTGGCTTTGTTCGCAAAGGGTTATCTCTTTTCCTTGTTGTCTGATCCTATTTGTATCAAGTTCTTGTTGGTAATTTGGTCTATATCACAATTACACGACCTGATATTGCTTATGTTGTTATGAGTCNGGGCATTGACAAAGATGAGGGGTCTTTTTTTATTGGCAACAGAAGGTGGAAGAAGATGGATATTTTGGACTTTTAAAAAGATAATAAGGGTATATTTGATATTTTATGAAGTGTTAACTTTCATGGAACTTTTTCATTCACTCTCAAATTTGGCTTGTGGCATAACTTCTATCAATTTTGATGGAAAAGCTAACTGTAGCAAACTAGTCCAAATGCATAAGGGGTTATGTGCTGATTAGATCTCATGTCTTTTTGTAGTTTCTCTCTTACTCTTTCTAGTTATGTCTTTATGGAGTGTAGATAGAATATATTTGCACTCCATAAAACTGAGACATGTGGGGTCGTGTGGATTTAATCGGTAAGAATCTTGTTGGTTCTTAGAGCGTTTAGAAGATTAAGACTAAATACTAATGGTTCTACTTAAAGATAAAAGATCAGATTAATTGCCAAGGGTTTTGCACATAACTATGAAATTAATTGTGTGGCGACATTTGCTCTTGTAACAAAGATGACCATCGTGTGGCAACATTGATTACCATACCCCCATTCGCCAATGGAAACAATCTCAAATGGATGCAACAATGCTTTCCAAAATGGTAATTTGGCTGAAAAGGTTTTTATGAGTCTTCCCCGGAGCATAAAGTATGTTAACTCCAAAAAACTTTGTATGGTCTCAAATAGGCTCCTCGAGCTTGGTTTGAGAAGTTCTCTATTTTTTGGATAAGAAACATCAATTTTATTTATAAGTAAGGCAGAATATTGCAAAATAAATCATAGGTGGACAAGTGTTTGAGAAGTTCTGTGATCTATGACTTGGGTTTAGTTTGGGTGATTATGCTTCTGCTCTTTCTCTTCATTCTTTTTCCGTTGGTCAAATTATTCTTCTCTAATCGATAACTTGTATGAGTATTGAATTAGGATAGTATCTCAATTAGAGATAGCAGCTTGGGATGAAGGATCTTGGTCTCTTTCCCAATTTCCTAGGCTTTAAAGTGGCTTTGTTCGCAAAGGGTTATCTCTTTTCCTTGTTGTCTGATCCTATTTGTATCAAGTTCTTGTTGGTAATTTGGTCTATATCACAATTACACGACCTGATATTGCTTATGTTGTTATGAGTCGATTTATCTCTTCTCTGACTACCGTCCATGGAGTTGTAGTTCTTTTTTTTTTTTTTAATGTTACCTTTGAAGCACTTCACATTAGAGGTTATTCTATTCCACTTCTACTTTTGAGCTTTATGCCTTTTTCAACGTTAGCTAGGCAGATGATGGCATGGATCATAAATTTACCACTGATTTTTCTCTCTTTGGGTGATTCCATTATTTTCAGAAAAAGCAAGAAACATGCTGTAATCACTCACTCCATTGCTAAGGTCGAATATCGTGCGATGGCGACTACTACATCAGAGATAATGTGATTGAGATGGTTACACGCCAATCTAGGAGTTTTTTTTTTTGCTCTAACAACAAGGGTGTCATTCAGATCGCACCAGATTCCTTTTTCCATGAGAAACCAAGCTTATCGAGATTGACTGTCATTGTCTGCACCACCATCTTCAACTTGGACTACTTTCTAGACTTTTGTTTCTTCTACTATGCAATTGACATACTTTTTCACAAATTCTCACACTACATATTTTTGTTTTTTTCTTAACAAACTTTCGATGCTTGTACTATCACATCAGGAGGTTGACAGAATGTTAAGATTGTGTTTATATGTATGTTTATTGGTTATTAGGG